AAGTAGTATATTAGGTTCGGGTTCTACTACCCCTATATAGTCTAGTCTTCTACTTAACGTATCTACTTAACTATTTTTAGTTCCTTTAATATAGTAGATTCTAAAGTCGTATCTTACTAAAGTTTCTACCTATCTCACTTATTATCTATTTAGATCCTTTATCGTTATCTAGTAAGTAAGGTTCTTATAGTTAGTAAATATCTATACTAAGTACTTTACTCCTTCTAGGTATACTCTCTATTATCGTAATACTTCTAATTAACTACGTCCCAGATTGTTGGGAGGGGGATTTCCTTTCCCGATCTAGCGGGTGAGCGTCGCCGCCCTAACTCACCCCCGGCTCACCCTGGCACACCCCGGCTGAACTCTGGCTCGCCCTGGCTCAACCCTGGCTCTACCTAGCTCACCCACCTTAGCTCACCCTAACTCACCTGGCTCCCTCTTGGCTCACCCAATATCTTTTGCGTGAAGCAGGCACAGCATCTGACTGGCTGATGTAACGTTGGGGCCAGTAAGGCGAACGCGCAGCAACGCGCGATCGCGTTCCTCAGTCCTGGCCAATCATACTGCTAGGCCCGCAACGTCGTCTGCATTGCATTTCATTCAATCATTCTCTCACACAACCACCTAAATTTGTGCTCTAGCTACTTGATGCACACCGATCGCCACACTGAGATGAACCCATCATCGTCACTAGATTGATACGAGTGTCCATCGGTATTAAGTTCCATCAGGACAATCGAAATGGACAGATTATCGAACAAGTGTCACGGCTGCTCACCTCCTGCGGCTTCGAGACAGCCTATGTGCGGCGTGACCTCGAGAAATGGGGCGTATTACTCTATCTCCTTGAGAACTGATGTAGGAGACATTTGAATGATTCGCCCATGCCAGCTCGTGGTGATCGAATTGAGCGAGAAGGGCGTCGATCTAGGCATTGAATCCGGCTACGCGTACACGCACGCCATCCTGGTGATCACCATTGCCCGTCAGGGCTCTGGTATCTCCAACACATTACGCGGTATTTCTCAGGTGGTGCACCTTTACGGGGAGGCAGTGCATCTGCGGGAATTTTTTCAGTACCTCGAGATAACAGAAGTGCCTGATATCAAAACAGCATTGGCGACAATGCCACACCTGACGCAGCCCCTTCTCCGTGCTGGGGGCGAAATCCTCTTTGCAAAGCTACATACCTCTTCGTGTCCGCTCGCGCCGGTGGCCTACGGCTGACAGGCTTCAATGACAGATTATGATCATCGCGCATTTACAAATACCGTAACTGCCGGCACCTGACAGTCCTTACTCCGAAATGGGTCTCTCTGCCGCTTTCTACAAGACTAGCTTGTCCTTCGTTTCCTGTCCAAAGCCAACGGTCCCAATAAGTTACACGATGACGACGTGGGATTCCGTCATCCACTTCTTTCGAATTCTCCTCCTGACCGTCACAATATTCCTTCACGGGGTTCTATTCTATCTCGCGTTGACAAGAGACGCCGTTAGCACCTGGATGTTGAGGTCGAAAATCTACCTTGCAATGCTGGTTCTCTTGGCTGTCATCCGGCGATTTCAGAAAACGGAGGCTTCGAGAAGGACAGTTGTGTGAAGCGAAGCCATGCCAACCGAACCGACAGACACTGTGGAGCGATTGTAGCGTCTGAGCCCATGGAGGTGTGCTTGAGAATCACGGCTGGCGCTTTGTGCTCTGTACACACCGCCTCCATACGAGATGGTGACAGTTGAGTTGAAGAAACTTTGCGTCTTGTGATCTACCACAACGGGTAATGGAAGAAGAAATCAACCGGAAAAGGCTATCAAGATGTGTCGGTTGCTCACAAAACCTGTCTTATCAAATCCTGTCGAACAGGTCTATCTGCCGTCATGTGGTTGAAGCAACTGGGAAGGCCTGTACAACGAGAGCTTGGAGGGAGTTGCGAGGCGATGGCTGCCTGCTTTCTGAAAGGCAGACTCTTGAGATCAAACATGGAGGGTCGCATGCAGTCGCCACCACTGAGGATCACCACTTCGAACCACTTGACGCCCAGTCCGCGGGAACGAGATAATCGCTGTTTCCTGGCAGAGTTCTGGTGGGGCCAAAGTAGGAATCCTTCTTGAGCCTATCAACTGACTTATTCTCCCGGTACAAACGAGTCTTAGCCAGGCCAGAGTTGATGCGCAAAACGAAATCGGCATGGACTGGACGTCTAGAATTGGTCGGTGCCATTGTGCCGCTCCCATAGGCGATGTTCTAGCTCCTACATTTCTGTCCGTGTCACCTATCAAACAAGGTTAGACAGACGTCTTCGCATCGGCTGACGTGTGAGGCGGAGCCGTGATGAAGGCAGCAATCAGCAGGGCGCATAGCATTAGTATAGCACTCCTTGGACCCCCTTGCCTGCCGCCTCCGTGCGTGGTGTGCGACAAAGATGCAGCAAGGGAGAATCGGGATGCCTACCATGAGAGTTACGCGTCACGGGTCGCCATAGGACATCCAGAACAGGAGCCGACTCTATGACGACGACCAGGGCCTATACACCCTCTGCAATACCCTGGGCTGATTCCAACACCATCGCCGATGTACCTGGACACCCAAGAACAGATCTGGAGAACCAACAGAGGAGCCTGCGAAAGTTCGACGCCCTTGCTACATCGGTTCTGGTCGCAGTCAGCATCATACCTTTGCCATTTCTCCGTCTATGAGGGCCTTTCGAACAGTTCTCATGCTTGGAAGACTTCACTGAGGTGATGGAAATACCCCAACGTGGTTTTAGCAACATGATGGTGCCATCTTTCGTCGGGGATGAGGCAGCCTGATCCTGTTTGGCTGCTTGTTCCCTTGGGAAGCCCGATCGAATGAATGCCTTCAGTATGGAAAGAAAGTCGAGTGGCCCGACACGTAACTCATTGAGGTTTCATTGGTGGACGACGGGATCAAGCAAAGTAAGGGTGCAGCTTGGAGCGTCATGATGCGAGTACGAGGGCCACGGAAGGACTCAGGCGGCATGCGTGATGTAGTTTGGTGTTCTCCCAGTCTACGTTGTAACTAGTCCCGGATAAGGCGGCCCCCATCCTTTTCACACCGGTTGAACATGGCTCAGCTGTCTGCCGAGAAGAGGCATTCCCTTAGCGCTTTATCGCACAACTTAGGAGTCGTATGAGCAGGGTGAACATAACGGGCCCAGCAAGATAGAGTGCCAGGCAGACCGATCCCATAGCCAAGCACGCTGCTCTCTGAAGACGAAACAAGTTTGTACATGGCAGAGCAACCTTTCTCGATTGATCGACACATTGTTTTGGCGGTTCTTTGTTGCGTATCATGTCCCTACAGTTTCTCGACATCTGTGAGCTTTTCGAGCAGCTGTCGTCCTTGGAAAATCTCGAAAACCGCGAATTAAGCGTTCAAGAATGGTTTGAACGACATCAGAGTCACATACCATGTCGAGGAGCCCCTGCTCTTTTGTCTTGCTTGTTTCCTGAGAAACGGGCGGATCGAGTGTATGCGTTGCGAATACAGCTCGAACGTATGGTCACTAAGGCGGCTTGCTTGGGTCACACTCGTGTCTCCCGGTTGCGGCGTCTACAACGCCACGATGGCATGGATTTCGCTTCCGCGGCCCAGCAGATTCTTTCGGCGACGGACGATTTTTCGAATCCACCCCGATCACTCACTGTTGAAGAGATGGACTATACGCTGGACTGATTGGCATCGACGTGCGTATTCTCGTCGCCCATGCTTCGGGAACCCATCACCATTGGCTACACTGAGGCCTTTGACGAACTGGTGCGTGCTCTTCGACGATTGCCCAGTATGGGAGTGAAATGGATGATTCGTCTGCTCCTGAAAAACTTATGTCCGGTGGAAATCCCCCTCATAAAGGCTTTGCGGGCATTTCACTTTCTTATGCCTGACCTCCTCAAAGTCCTTATATTATTATCCGGTGCAGTCCAACTGCTAGAGAGCGACATGATCAGCCAGCTCCCTATATCTCCGCCTCCTAGCCTGGAGAGGTCATTAATGGACTCTGTACGCGCTGAGATCGAGCCCCGACTTGGGACGATGATTGGACTGCAAGACTTTTCCAAGGCGCGCAGCATCCAGCACTGGTGCCAGTTAGCCGGTCGCAAAGAGGTCAATGTAGAGAGGAAGTATGACGGCGAATACTGTCAGATTTACGTCAGTCGCACTAATTCTCAACATCACATCACAATCTTTTCCAAGAGCGGCCGAGACTCCACCATGGATCGTGTCGGCGTCCACGATGCCATCAAGAGATGCTTGGGTCTTGGTACATCTTCTTGCCTATTTAGAGACCAGTGCGTCTTGGTGGGAGAATTATTGGTATGGAACGATCAAATGGGTCAAATCATGCCATTCCATAAGCCAGTCCCAAGACCACGTTTCAACATACCCGCATGTTTACACCCACGCTCCGCGACACTAGCTGACAGCTCGGACCCGTCTTAGGATGGGTTGGCGTGTGTTTTCACGTTTCGCTATTATTCAATTGCCAAAGAGCGTTTAGACTTATCAGGTACCTGATACTCATGTTCGTGATACTTCACCCCAGCGTCCATTTGCTCTGCAATTGCTCGTCTTAGGGTGGCTCTCGACCTTCCGTCAACACAAACTATCGAACTTATCAGGACGGTCATTGTAATGATGCACAGCCTTACCTGATACGAGTAATTTTCCTCGTCCCTCTCGAACCCTTTCCTCGCCCAGGATCTGCTCGAAATGGGCCGGTCGAGCAATCAATTTGACCAGATCATGTTCGCCGGCAGCGAGTACATCTCCCGGAAATAGGTCAATCGGATGAGCACTACCACTCGCAGGTTGGTAGCGACCATTATTAGGGCAGTGTATACGTATCTCCAACATCTGTGTAAGTGATGTCAGGTCATTAAGATTCGCGCCGTTGATCGCACTGTTGAACTTACAAAAGACGTGTCATTCGGCAGCAATTTGTCAAACCATTTCTTGACCCATTTGTCGTGATCTAAGTGTCATATTAGTACCCGTGAGAAGATGCCTTCGGAGTGAGACCTACTACAGTCCTCGACTTGCCATATAATAACCACGCGTCTTGTCCGGATAGAAGCCTCCAAGCGACCCTTCATAAGCCATTTCAAGTAAGGGAGATGTGCCGTAATGCCAACGTCGGCAGCGAACATTAGCACAGATCCGTAGTCTCCAAAATTTTCGGACCGACCGAACGGGCGACTGATCCAGGCAGTACACTCCTGTTCACGGTGCGACAACAACCGCCGGGTGAATCCTCTTCGTTTTCGGACCAGCATATCCAATTTCATCACCCCGTTATCCGTTTCCCACCAGGTAATCCAAAACGGATGACGCTGAAAAAGGGAGGGAAATCCAAGGCCTGGGAGAGAGATAAAGAGATAATCACCTGGTTGCACGTCCCAATCACGGTTCACTAGTATTTCGAGGTGACAGGCATCAGCCATAACCACCTGGTCACCCTTCTCCGTCCGATAGTCTGTCACAATGTTTGCCCTGGGCAGCAAGTTCCCTTGACCTAGATTAATATTGTAATAGCAATCGATGAGGGAGCCAACGAGGAGCCAGCAGCCCCAGAAGGCAATCCCCCCTAGGATGTAAAAGCGAGCTTCGAAATGTCCAACCGAGAGATGACGCCATAAAGCGATCGCCGCCACACCTGTTGTTCCGACATGCAGGCCTAAAAACATCTCGTAGAAATATCGACGGCTGCATGAGACCGAGAGGACAGCGGCGGTGGTGAGTGCCCCAAAGGCCTAGGTCCAAGTTAGTTTCTCATTTTATATTCCGTTCCATGAGCGCTAGCTTACTATGGTGCCGCATATTTCGAGTGTACTCCATTTCAATCTCGCTGCCCGTATATTGATCACAATGTGGATGCTGCCTTCCAGCAGAGTCATGCAGCTGATCCACCGATGGATGATTTTAGGTACGTGAAGGGCGACGCCGAGAAAGTCTGCTACATCGCTGAGCTGAGTGCCCACCAGGAGCGGAACCAAGTTGATGGTTGCTAGGGTCCCACTTCGAGCGGCGACCTCAGCGTGATCCTTCACATTCAAACTCATACACACTGTGTTTGCCGCGACATATATCAGAACGAAAATGATTTCGAACTCGCTTATAGCTGTGCAAGGAAAAATACGCCTTAAGATCGCTGCAAGCCACTCGACACAAAAGAAAGCGAAAGGTAAGAGCAGCTGAAATGCCCACCGCAGGACCCGAAATGTCTGCCAGGTCGCTGCTATGAAAATCGCAGTAAGGCCGTACCATTGCGGAATATTAGCATGAAGTTCCATAAAGCTGATTTTAGCATAGTGGGCACAGGAGGGAACGACGGAGCTATAATGGCTGTCCTTTAATTTGGTCTGAAATGAGAGAACACTGCCCTTAAATAACGGTGGGTGCATGGATGGTACACCCTCATCAAAATGTGGCTGTTCGAGCCTGCCAGCTGTTTTCAGAGCATTATGATAGTATGCTGACATAATTGACCGTATGATTCGGTGGGTTTACAAGTCTCCGAAAGAGCCATAGCATTCTATGTTTCGTGGTAGCCGACATGTCCTGGGAGCTGCTTGGTTAGTGCTGGGCATCGAATCAGCTCCCAGACCCGTCCTGATCTGTACCTGGGCATCAACTCTGTGAGGCCTGGGAACTATGAACGGCTGCTCCGGGAACAGTTCAAGCTCCCAGGCATAACCAAGACGTTTCCAGGCGCTCAAGGATTCCCACGGTAAGTCATGGTATCCAAGAATGGGCTATAAGACTAGTGGTCGCTGCATGGAATAGGTGGTTGTTGTAAAGTGCGATGGCGTCTCAAGGCTCCGCTACTGCATACGATCGTTTACTTTGCTCCTTAAAAGATCATGCTAGATTGGGGATCTACCGCATTCGGCTAGACAACATTGAACACCCTCGGATCCCTCAGAACAGATTACCGAATGTCACCAGACTCAAGAAAACCTTCATCGTCCAGAAATGCTTGCGCCATAACCCGCAGAACTACATCAAGGCGACAATCCCACATGACGTTTTTGAGCAACGCAGCTCGGTCAAACAAACAAGTGACGGTGTAAATGAACTGTTGCTTCGGGGAGAGGACAGTGTTTATTGTTTACATGGATCCTGCCGGATTCAGGCCGCAAAATCAATCCTGCGTGGCGGGGATCGTTGGTGGACGGTTGTACTTTATAAAGAAGATATTGGTGGGGATTCCGAAACAGATTCAGGAGAGCATGTTAACACCGCATTAGATCCGAGAGCAAATAGGAACCTTCGCGACGCGTTCGCCAATCAGCTATCTCCTCCTGACGGTACGATATACGTTAACCTACAAAAAAGTCTACAAGACAACGACTTGGCCGGGACGGACCAATGGCGCGCGTACTTAACCACCGACAAGAGACGCTATTTCCGTCAGTTATGCAACACTCACGGAGGCATAATTGATGCTTTCAACCAGCTGCTGTTCTTGGAGCCCTTATTCTTGGGGAAACAGGCGTTTCACATTGGCGTTTTCCACAAGTTGGGCAGACTTCATTGTGACAAAGTACCGCTCGCATTCCACGGTGGTCGGTTCGGTCACTGACCAGGATATCAGGAGATAATCAATTATATCAACGACACGACAAGCTTCTGGACCACTGTGAGTGACCACGGTGCGCATGCCATCAATGTCGACTTCATCGAAGCAGTTCAAGGACGTTGCCCCAGATTCTCGCAAAGAGACCACGAGCACATCCGAAAGTCGTTAGAACCAGACGGCCCTCTCGGCCAACTATCGCATCAGGCACGAGAACATATTTTCCACGCGACAGTTTTATATACCCGCACTATACCTTCGCTCTTCACCTTTTTCCAGGACTGGAAATATATCCAGATTTGTTGCGAAGTTCTGACCGGATTGCTCGGCGTGGAAGATCGACCCGTGCGACGCAGCTTAAAAGAATGTTTCGACCCCTTCTTCCGTCAGCCACAGCACATGATTGTTCAAATCGATCACGACACCTTTCGCACGTGCTCGGTCCAGGATCGCTCAGACTGCTTTCGGCTTGCCTATTGGCAACTCTGGCTGTGTGCGATGCGACTGTGGCCTTTCTTGTTGGTGCGACGTGGCCGGCAACGTCGCAATTCAGTTGATGAACGCTTCACCACAGCCCACCGAAAGCAATATTGGTCCCTCATCGCTCGAAATGCGCAGCGGCTGGGGTTTGATTCGCCTCACATACAATCGCTCTCGGCGCAAGACCATCCTAGGACGCTTAATAATTTGCCACGGTACCAGGGATTGACTGGTGCCGTTGATAAAAGTTGCCCGGACCGTTGCGGCACACCCTTTAATGACCAATATCTCTTAGATCGAAATTCTCTGTTTTTGCCTAATCTTATATTAGACGCCAGTGAGGTGGAGACAGTCGGAATTGGCGAAGACGTCACCACTCTCCTTGTGCGAAGATCTTTATTTTTGAGAATTTTCCCTGACTGCAAAATGCCTACACTGGCTTCGACTACCGCTTCTGAATCAAGAGAATTAACCCCGCAAGGTCAAGTTGCTTCGGATTTGCCGCAACGCTTTGCACATGACCACGTCACGCCATCCAATATGGATTGGGCAACTCAGTCGACTGGGATGCCGCCTATAGTTGCAGCTAATCCTTTAGATTTGCCGCAACCCTCTGCCCATGACCACATTAACACGCCGCCAAATATGGATTGGGCAATTCAGTCGACAGGCGCACCGCCTACGTCTGCCGGCACTTACTATGTCGACGTTTGGAACGGTGGGCGAGGTCTCATAAGTAAAACTGTGGGAACAAAAGAGCAGTGGATTGCAGATCTGCGCGGCTTCATCCGCCATAATTTCACTCTGTGGGATTCCGATACCCTGGTCACTGTGGATCCTGAAGGACTTGAGATCTATCCTAAGACGCGGATAATCGCTATCCCAAGGGACTTTGATATCGATCAGCTTCGTCGGGCTCATGGTATGGCAGTTCAATAGTTTCAATATGCCCTCAAGCAGTTCCAGTTCCTACCATTTCCCTGTTCAGCTTTCCAGAGCGTATTTTGGGACAACTCAATCCATCGTCACCCATACATTCGAATCTCCCAGTCCTATTTAGGCGTACTGTGGTGGGACTCAAGGAACTGCCAATGACACCAAGTTGTATGGTCAGCAACACTTCTGAGATCTTGAATGTCTAGTGGTTCACATCGGAGTTTGAGGAAGGCATGCTGAACTAAGGTTAGCGGATCGCACAGTTAGAGAAAGTCCGAACACACCTCTCTCAAGCTCGTAGCAGGCAGCCGACGGGCGCATTCAATAAAATCTATTATTGTTGGGGACCAGTGGTGAGGTTCCCTGACATGTAGCTCTTCCTCTGAGCCGGTGATGACGCTTCTTTCAATTAGCCGCACCACGAGGTTTGCGAGCGCGGCTGTATCAGTGAACTGCTTCGATGACGCAGTAAATCGCCAGCAGGGAGGATGGGCTAATATAGAAAACAAAATGAGCTGTTTACATCTCGCCGAGACCAAAATTAATACTTACCTAAGATAGGCACACAGGAAGGAGGGATCAGGACGAAGGACGAGTCCAGTGAGCCATGCACTAGACCCTGTTCCTCTAGCAGCACAAGGCTAATCAATATCTTCTGACGTCAATGTGCAACATTTTATAAATTCCTAGATCCGGACTCACCTCGTAAGCTATGAAGGCTATATGCGCCTCTGTTGGACGGTCCTGGCTTGTAATAATTTGAGAAAGACTAGGTTTGACATACTGAGTCACAACGAACAATGTCCCGGACCAGTCGAAAGTCTCCTGAACCCGGTCAATGCCTCTCCCTGGGCAAAGACCTAATTGTTGAATGGCACGCAGATGTTTATCTTTTTCCGCCGAAGTAACACTCCTAACAGCATAAAGCTGCTGATCGGGTGGGATCGAGCGAGCCATTATGGCAGGACAACCTTGCCGGACGTGAAGAAGGGGTTTGAATTTCTTCCAAGGATCCTGGCTCTGTGGTAATGGAAGCTTACCAATCTCGATAGAACCATGGCGAGTCCGAATTTTGGTCAAATTTCGAGGCGAATGTGAGTTTGGCGTGGATTGGATCGAGGCTCTATCGGGCTTGGTGGGCGAGTTGACCCATTTAGAGGCGATCATGTCCGCTTGATCAATGCCTCCTTCTTCCCCGTCGTCATCCCCCTCGTCCTCTGACCTGAATCTCTTTCGATCGAATATAAAACGTGTGCCTCGTCGATCTATAGATGCCATTAAGGCTGGCTTTATTTCGATTTCGTCCCCGAGTGCCTATATTACTATCTGCTTAGAAGACCGTTAGTCGACAATAGATTCATATGGAGCTCATGTTCTCCGTCTAGAAAACCAGTGTGAGGACGATTACGCTTTTGTCCAGACGCCATCAGTATGAGGACAGACTACCTAGCCTTTCAGCGGGTCTATTTAAGCCTGAACTCAATGGTGTGTCTATAGGCAGGTGAACACGTGATCAGAGACACCCGCATCCTTTGCGGGTGAGAAAGAGAATTCAAAAACTTTGGGGGCATGTGTTTGACCCTATGAATGCCAAGACTCTAGGCAGCAAAGTTGAGAAAACCCACAAGAAATGGTGGTTATCGCACAGGGTAGGCCGAAAATGGAAGTTCAATGGGAAACGGCCGATAGCCTCTTCTATTCCCAATCTCCTATGCTCCCGCACCAGCCTCGATATATCACAGTTTCGTCGACCTCGATACCCCCAGTAAACAACACTTCGTATCGCAGCCATGGTCAACAGCTGCTGTATCCTGCCCGTTGCAGCGCGTCCCTTAGACAACGAGTACCTCTCCAAAGTCTATATCGATCCAAAGGTGGAGCAATAGCACTACTCCGTTTGTGGTGACGACACATCGGAAATCCTAGCCAAAAGGGTCCTAACAACTCTTCGCGAGCAAGCTACCACTCTCTCCTTCGCCGACATGATTAGGCTCCGTACCGCTTTTTGGTCTCTGTTAGGCCACTACCACGGGACCAACGACTTCACCTCCTTCTATATTGTTGAGGTAGTAGAATCAGTCTCTGGAATTCTTGCCACTGTACATACGGAACATGGGCAAAGACGAGAATTGGCTGCTCCGAAAGCAGACTTCCTCAAAATGGTGGAGGATCCCTTTTCGAGTGGAGAGCGCGACGAGAATCAGCTGTGGGCTGACTTGACTGCGCCAAACATCGGCAAGGCACCTCGCTCACATTCAGCGCCTATGATGCTCAAGGAGATCTCATGTTGGTGTTGTGATACCAAGATTCGTGTACTTATGATGGAGTCATAAAGATCTTGCATAATATTCTCCGTTGTCCGATCTGGCTGCGGAATTCGTATATTTCTAGCTGTGTACAGTACCACAGCATGCCAAAAATGCACAGCGTGCCAGGCCATTGCCGCTAGCTCAACACGTTTACGAGTTTCCGATACGTTTGGTACACCGTACCCACGTTTCTTATCAGCCAAGTGACATTGTCCATCGAGAACCTTGAAAGAGGATGTCCGCAACTTGCGCGACACGGATGCTGCCAAAGCCCATAACTACGCTGGCGTAGTTACTGCACGTGATACGAGGGTGGGGACCGTTGTTTTACCGGGAGACGAGCCCTGGAGGCTAACGCACCCCTTTCCAGGGACGCAAGTCACGTGGCGAGCCCTTACATTTGTGATCGGTAAGAATCGCAGGCCGCAATCCCAATCATTGAGGCCCGTCGCATTTCTGGTCGCTATTGAACAGTTACGAGACACGCGTTCCTCGGTGTGTGATGTGAAAACAATGAAGCAGAAAGATAGAACTGCAATGGCTAGCATCATGAAAGTCCGCAAGTCGTGGAGTGTCAAAGCATATACTCAGTGACGACACCAGGCTCCTGTACCCACTTCAGCAACCTGGATACACACTAAGTCCGTCCTTCAAGTATGTAGTCACCTATTCCAGATGGACAAGACGATGCACAAGGGGGAAAAAAGTGGCTGAGAGTGAAAGGCGGAGAAAAGTGGCATTTCCTCAGGCCAGCAGTCACTTGCACCCTCCCAATGCTTAGAGCACGCATTAAGAGATAATGACACAAGGATTTTTATGGTGTTCGCGGATCAGCTGCAGTGTGGTACAAAGAGACCAGCCGATAAGGGGCTAAGAGGCCCCCCCCCCCCCCCCCAACACACAATTGTGGATAATAGTGAGCGACAATATACCAGTGCGTTCATGAAACTGACCAGTGCATCTGCACAATTGATTGGTGTATTTGCAAGGTTGACCAGCGTGTTCTCAAAGATCTTTGATGGATGATCCGGAACCACCAAGAGTCTCAGTGGAGCTCCCATTCTCCATGTCAGCACTGCCGATGGTAAGCGTCTGCTAAAATGCCGCTAGGATGTCTTTTAATAAGCTTAGACTTGTGTTTGGGAGCATTTTGATCAGTCCTGCGGCACAGTCGGTCCCGTGGCCGAGGAAACAAGCAGACACTGACGATCTTTCGGTACCAGTCCGGTATTTCCTCCGGAAAATCCATGTTCCAAGATGGACGATGCCTTCATTTTCGTTCAACCCCATACAGAATCCTCAAATAACTCCTGCCAGTGCTCCCAGTGCTTCACCCGGCGCTTGCAGAAGGTCTGCTACGAGAGTTGGCGAAGTGGCCATGAACAAGGGTATAATTCAAAGTTTCAGTTTTCTACCAAAAAGGCTGATGGTTCCCGAATGCATCATCTCCGCTTACCGATATTCTATTCCTTTTGACTCGATCTATAGTATCGTCCAAGGGAGAAGACTATATTACATCGATGGCGATTCCGAAGACGTTCACTGGAAGCTTCGTGAAATATGACTGACGAATATCGATGTTTATAAGAGTTGAGAACGGCTTACTCACTGAAGAGCACGGCGTGGCAGAATGCTGTCGCCCATGCTGGCTGCTGCTTATCCACCGGATGGTAACTTCAGGGAGTGGGAGATGATAGACCGGTGCCTGTGCGCCTTGTGCAGCAGCACAAGTTGTCTCTTACGGCTGAAGCTGCCACGACCACCCTTCGAATCTGTTTGGCCTAGAATGAGGTGATTCATCCAGCACCCCCTGCTAGAGGGAAACGAATGGGAAGCCCATTGGCAACCACAAGGGCAGAAACTTGGCCCATCTGCCTTGCATATCCGCTGACGTGTCCTATATGACAAGATTCCAGGTAGCGACATTGGCATGGACAAGGTATAAAAATGCTGCTGCCCCCCCACTCTCTCCTCTGTCCCTTCTCTCTCTCTTTATCTTCGAGACTTGTTGTCCCCCACTCAAACGCTGCACAGTTACGCCAAACCTACTGCCTTGTCAGCACCTACTGGAAATGGCGGATCAATTCTCCCCTCTCGTGGGGGATGCTCGTCATCTTCTCGAAAGCATGTTCGCTCGCATAGTTGAACAGTTAGATAAAGAGCATGATCAATCCGACCGGCTTCGACGAGAACGAGACGAGCTCATTGCGGAACAATCACAGGCTAAGGAGCGGGAGGATGATTTGATCAGCGAACTGACGACCCAAGAAGAGCGAGTTGCGCAGCTGGAACGTTTACTTGCCGAGGAACGAGCGAACCGACAAGAGAACAACCAAAAAGTCCTCCAAGCGCGTCGAGGCATGAAACGGCTCAAAAGAAAGCTCGAGAAACTCGAGCGGAACAACGCCGCAACCATCCCTCAAGAATGGCACAAAGCTCGTCTTCTGAGAGAGCAGGAGGATCAGCTGGACCAGATGCGAAACGAGATGAGCCAGCTCACTGAGGAACTCCAGGCAGAGAGGATACTGAGCTTACAGAAAACGACAGAGATCACCACATTTAGGGAAAAATTGGAACGTGTCAGGAAGCGCAGTCAGGAGGACGAAGCGCAGTCACGACAGAATCTGGAAGAACTTCAAGGCCGATTCGACGCTGAACGCTACTCCCTACAGGGCGAGGTTGACAAGGAGAGACGCGGGAGACAGTATGTCGAGCGAACTCTTGCTCGAGTCAGAAAACAATCAGAGTCGAAGATATCCGAAGGACGACGGGACCTTGATCTATTGAAGGCCGATTTTTGCGAGTTAGCAGAATCCTCCGAGGGATTGCGTGAAGAGCTCCAGCAAGCCCGGTCGACCCTACAGAGACAGTCGAAGTTGTTGACGGACAAAGACTGTGAAATCTCCAAACTTATTCACATAGCGGAGACCTTGAAAGGGGAACATGCAATGGTACAGCAAGAAACTCTCCATCAGCTTACAGCAGCCCAAGGTGAGGCAGAAGTGGCTAACCAACACCTCAAGGATGTGAGTCATGGGCGAGACCTAGTACGACAGAACTTAGTTACAGTCCAGGCGTCGATTGCCTCACTTTGCGCTAGCGGTGGAGCGATCGAAGTGATGCGATCCATCTGCTGTCACCTCAGAAAGCTGGCAAGAAAGTCGGGCGATTTCTGTGATTCAGCGCATGGTGAATACCACTATAGAACTGATTGCGGCACAATGGTGTGTTCTGACTGTTTTAGACAGAACGTGCCAGACACCAATGGGTCGACTTTGAGCGGAGATCACCTGGAATTTGGCTGTCCATGGTGCCAATCGGTTTTCTGGACGTGGGAGCCTCTTACTATTCCATACTCATCAACCTGGATAAGAGAATTGGAGTGTGCCGCTGATGTCATGAAGGGATGGATACTGGACGGACTTCTGGAGGCATAGCATACAGGCAGAATCTTGGGAGTATATTATATTATAATGAGTGTTGCAATGACGAATCTCTTTCAGAGGCCTTCACCAACGTCGATCAAGTGCAGGCTTGGTAACTCATGCACCAGTTCCTACTCCTCCTAGAAGCTCTTGGCCGCCCAATTCATTTATCGACTATAGTCGATGTTTTCACCACGTAGGCGTCGTGCCAATTGCATATCCTTACTCTGAATCGTGACTCGTTTAGCGTGAATTGCACACAGATTAGTATCTTCAAAGATTGACACGAGGTATGCTTCAGTGGCCTCTTGGAGGGCTCCAATAGCAGATGACTGAAATCGGAGGGCCGGTGTGATATCACAGGCAATTTCTCGAGCAAGGCGTTGGAATGGCAGTTTTCGGATGAGCATTTCGGTTGATCTCTTTTCGACATTAACTCTATACAGGGAAGAACCAGAAGCACGAAACATACCTGATATCGCCGTATCTCTCGAAGAGCCACAGTACCTGGCTTATATCGAAAAGGCTTTTTCACTATATCGCG